GGAAGAATTAGTGCCTAGGAGCATTGATGTGTGGGAAGAATCAGTGCCTAGGAGCATTGATGTGTGGGAAGAATTAGTGCCTAGGAGCATTGATGTGTGGGAAGAGTTAGTGCCTAGGAGCATTGATGTGTGGGGAGAATTAGTGCCTAGGAGCATTGATGTGTGGGAAGAATCAGTGCCTAGGAGCATTGATGTGTGGGAAGAGCTAGTGCCTAGGAGCATTGATGTGTGGGAAGAATTAGTGCCTAGGAGCATTGATGTGTGGGAAGAATCAGTGCCTAGGAGCATTGATGTGTGGGAAGAGTTAGTGCCTAGGAGCATTGATGTGTGGGAAGAGTTAGTGCCTAGGAGCATTGATGTGTGGGAAGAGTTAGTGCCTAGGAGCATTGATGTGTGGGAAGAGTTAGTGCCTAGGAGCATTGATGTGTGGGAAGAGTTAGTGCCTAGGAGCATTGATGTGTGGGAAGAGTTAGTGCCTAGGAGCATTGATGTGTGGGAAGAATTAATGCCTAGGAGCATTGATGTGTGGGAAGAGTTAGTGCCTAGGAGCATTGATGTGTGGGAAGAATCAGTGCCTAGGAGCATTGATGTGTGGGAAGAATCAGTGCGTAGGAGCATTGATGTGTGGGAAGAGTTAGTGCCTAGGAGCATTGATGTGTGGGAAGAATCAGTGCCTAGGAGCATTGATGTGTGGGAAGAGTTAGTGCCTAGGAGCATTGATGTGTGGGAAGAGTTAGTGCCTAGGAGCATTGATGTGTGGGAAGAATTAGTGCCTAGGAGCATTGATGTGTGGGAAGAATCAGTGCCTAGGAGCATTGATGTGTGGGAAGAGTTAGTGCCTAGGAGCATTGATGTGTGGGAAGAGTTAGTGCCTAGGAGCATTGATGTGTGGGAAGAATCAGTGCCTAGGAGCATTGATGTGTGGGAAGAGTTAGTGCCTAGGAGCATTGATGTGTGGGAAGAATCAGTGCCTAGGAGCATTGATGTGTGGGAAGAGTTAGTGCCTAGGAGCATTGATGTGTGGGAAGAGTTAGTGCCTAGGAGCATTGATGTGTGGGAAGAATTAGTGCCTAGGAGCATTGATGTTTGGGAAGAATCAGTGCCTAGGAGCATTGATGTGTGGGAAGAGTTAGTGCCTAGGAGCATTGATGTGTGGGAAGAGTTAGTGCCTAGGAGCATTGATGTGTGGGAAGAATCAGTGCCTAGGAGCATTGATGTGTGGGAAGAGTTAGTGCCTAGGAGCATTGATGTGTGGGAAGAGTTAGTGCCTAGGAGCATTGATGTGTGGGAAGAATCAGTGCCTAGGAGCATTGATGTGTGGGAAGAGTTAGTGCCTAGGAGCATTGATGTGTGGGAAGAGTTAGTGCCTAGGAGCATTGATGTGTGGGAAGAATTAGTGCCTAGGAGCATTGATGTGTGGGAAGAATCAGTGCTTAGGAACATTGATGTGTGGGAAGAATTAGTGCCTAGGAGCATTGATGTGTGGGAAGAATCAGTGCCTAGGAGCATTGATGTGTGGGAAGAGTTAGTGCCTAGGAGCATTGATGTGTGGGAAGAGTTAGTGCCTAGGAGCATTGATGTGTGGGAAGAATTAGTGCCTAGGAGCATTCTACACGAGCGACAAAATCGCGGCAGTTGCTAATAAAAAGAAATAAAAAGAAGCATATTAACTAAAAATAAGTTAATATGCACGGAAGCGTTCTGTTACCCTTCGTCGTCGCGGCAGGAAGCAGCAGTCTAAAGAATAAAAAATAAATAAAATATCCAGCGATTTTAGAAAAAAAAAATTAGAAACAACGCACGTAGGTTAGACTGACCTTGGATTAAAACCTGTCGAGGACCAATTTTCATTTCGGCTTCCATCTTGAGTACCAAAACAAGTGCGGTTAGGAGCAAAAGTCCGACTAAAGTGCAGTTTGGCAAAAATGTAAAATGGGCCAAAGGAAAGAGCCAAGGAGGCAATAAGTTGCTGTAGAGGGAGATGGTTAAATGGCAATTGCAAGGAAGGTATTGCTGTAATGAAAAAGATTATGGTTATCATTATTGTCATTATCATTATTCTAGGGCAGATATAAGTAATAAGCTATTGATTGTTCTGGTGCCCATAGTATACGAATTGATAAGTGGCAGTGATTTTAGACCGAAAGGGTGGAGATACAGTAAAGTCGCCATTATGTCTGATATTCTGAGCAGCGAACTTTGGCTTCACAATCCAGAAAATAAGGCTTTTGAAATTACAAAGATATTGATAGCAAATCATTAATGCATGAACTCCAACTTCACAGCATGGCCACTTTGTCATGGAGGCAAAGGAAAGGCAATCTATCTTGATAAGAGTAAGGATGCTGTCACACTCCCAAGGCAGTACACATAGATATGGCGATGAATTAAATCGTTTACGAATTTCCAAACTGCCAGAGAGAGGGACAGGTTCTCGGTACCTATCACTCTCTCTCTCTCTCTCTCTCTCTCTCTCTCTCTCTCTCTCTCTCTCTCTCTCTCTCTCTCTCTCTCTCTCTCTCTCTCTCTCTCTCTCTCTCTCTCCCCCCTCCCTCCCTCCCTCTCTCCCTCTCCCTCTCCTTCTCCCTCTCCTTCTCCCTCTCCCTCTCCCTCTTCCTCTCCCTTTCCCTTTCCTTTTCTCTTCCCCTTTCCCTCTTCTCCTTCTCCCTTCTCCTCTATCTATGCATCAACACACACACATACACAAACACACGCACGCACGCACACACACACACACACACACACACACACACACACACACACACACACACACACACACACACACACACACACACACACACACACACACACACACACACACACACATATATATACACACATGTATATACATACATACATATATATATATATATATATATATATATATATATATATATATATATATATATATATATATATATATGTATGTATGTATGTATATATATGTATATATATATATATACATACACACACATATATATATATATATATATATATATATATATATATATATATATATATATATATATATATATATATATATATATATATATATTTGACTACGGTTTACAATCTTACAAAAACAAATCAGCGAGTATGGCAGCTTCGGAAGTGGCTAGCTAATCCCAACCACTGTTGACAGTTTCTGCCACACTTTGTACAGGTGCACTTTGTC